GGGTTGCACAAAAAAAAAAAAAAAAAAAAAAAAAAAAACTATGGCAAGTGGCGACCGGACAGGACCGGTTCGGGTGTGGGCTATGGAAGCACCGCATCCAATTTTCGCAGTCACAGTTGCTGCATCGAATGGCACAGCACAGACAGATGTCACAGGTTACGTGGCTCCTACATGCTAGGAACACAGAGGCACGTCGACCGCAATTGTAGAGGCATTGCCGTTCCAGCCCCTGTCTACAACTTGGACATTATATGTTGGGGTGTTGTAGATGAGTAGAGTAGTGGTTGTCATCGTGTGTGTGTGTGTGTGTGTGTGTGTGTTTAAAAAGACCCCAGATTCTCTCTCTCATTCCCTTCACAAATCACCACAAGCCAAAAAGTATAGATAAGCAATATAACAGAAAATGCAAGGTTGGCTACATTTGTGTGGTTCAGCGCCAAGTGTCCTTAAGGGATGACAGGGGTCCTTGCCAGGGGTCTGCCGCCAAAGCGGCACACTTGCGCATATACATATGTATACATATGTATTTGAAACCATAATGGGATGGAGGACAGAAGGCAACTTACCTACAATGGAAGACTACTCCAGCACGGCGGCAGGGGTCGTTGCCACTCGTCTGCCGCCGAAGCGGCACACTTGCACATATACATCTACAACACCCGTCTGCCGCTACACTTGCACATATACACTTGCCGCCAAAGCAGGGGTCCTACAATTGTAGATGACAGGGGTCCTTGCCACCCGTCTGCCGCCAAAGCGGCACACTTGCACATATACATATGTATACATATATATTTGAAACCATAATGGGATGGAGGACAGAAGGCAACTTACCTACAATGTAAAGACTACTCCAGCAAGGCGGCACCGACCCGACCCCCTCAAAGGTCCAAAAAAACTTGGAGAGAGCATTCCGCATCGGCCCACAAAACCAAAAAGTCGTTTACCAAAAACAAACAAATATAACAGCATTGGGATTCCCGACATTCATCTCAAACTACACACTCGCATCACTCCCAAAGAGTAGGAAGAAGATAAGAGACAACTTACCTAAGACAGAAGACTCCTCCAGCAAGTGTGTGTCTGTGTGATAGATACATGGCCTGTGAGTGTGCAGCATGTAAGCAGAAAAACAAAAGGCAACAACTGAGATACAGATCGGCTCCTTTTCGGGTGACCCTTGGCTCTTACGGCCAATCCACACAGGGGTCCTTGCCACCCGGATCATGACCGTACGGAACCATGATTGGAGCGCATTGTGCTGTAGGAAGATGGTAGTGACCGCTATGATGTGAGAGGTATAGAAGGCGATCGGTAAGCCAGGATATCACAGCCGTCAAGATTGTAAAGATACAAAGAAGATGAGCACGGCAACTGTGCAGTTAAGGATAGCATGCACAATTCGAGAAATTATGGTACACTATTACACATACCAAAAAAACAGAGGGAGCTGAATCTCAAACTGGGGCCTCTCCCCCCAACTTCCGTGATTGTACAATCACTTTCCCCATCCTGTCTTCCCGCCCACACCCTCGGTGACCCAATCGCCTGCCTCATGAATCCTTCTTCCCGGCGATCATATCCCAATCTCCACCTCGATGATGTTCGTTTTCCCTCCTCCTCCCCCCCCCCCCCCCCCCCCCCCCCCCCCCCCCCCCCCCCCCCCCCCCCCCCCCCCCCCCACCTTCTTTTTCCCCCCCCCCCCCCCCCCCCCCCCCCCCCCCCCCTCATTGTCCCTCATTCCTATCTCCCTGCACATTCCCACTCCATCGAGTTGAGAAACGTCGATCAAAGTCTATCTTAAAAATTCTCAAAAAAAGCAAAGAAAAGACCAATCACCATAAAAGAACCAAACGGGTGACAAAGTCCAGAAAACTGACCTTCACCCAAAGCACCCTCGATTGACTGTCTTCGACTGCTCCCCTCCGGCATATTTGAACGGCAACACAAACTAGCAGCACGATCACCACCTTCCCAGCTGACGACACTCTCTCACTATCACACCCTCAGCTCACGCAAGTCCTTGCGCGTGTGCATGAATTCTCACCAGCTCTCCTTCCTCAGAAAAAGCCACTCACCTCTGAGGCTTCTCTTCTTCCCTGGTTTATCCCCTCCCTTCTCTCCTATCTCCTCGTCTGTCCTCTGCAGTCCGCATCAGCTGCCAGATGCTTCAACTGCAGCACATCGCATGTGCTTCAACTGAGACTTATCATCTGACACTGTCCAGCGGCTTCAACCACCGACCATCGCAGTAGCCCTACCCTGAACACCTGAAGCTCTGGCCCCTACCTTAGGTTGGAATGGCACTGTTCATGCACGCAGGCAAGGTGTGCAGTTGCTTTCGGAGAATCTCTGCTTCTCTGCTTCCTCGATTCGAGGGCAGGAATCTCTGCTCTCTTGATTCAAGTACAGCATGCTCTGCTCCCGCGATTCGAACACAGGAGCCCCTGCTGCTCACTCCATTCCAATACAGAAAGCTCTGATCACTCGATTCAAAGACAGCAAGTTCTGCTCACTCGATTCGCATACAGGAACCTGTACTGCTTGCTTGATTCAAAAGCAGGAGGCTCTGCTCCCTCAATTCGAATACCGGAAGCTCTGCTCCCTCTTTTTTAATACAGCAGACCCTTCTCCCTCGATTCCAATGCAAGAAGCTCTGCTCTCGATTTGAATTCAGGAAGCTGTGCTCTCAACTCAAATTCAGGAAGCTCTGTTCCCTCGATTCAAGTACAGGACGCTCTTCTCCCCCGATTCGAGTACAGGAAGCTCGTCTACCTTGATTCAAATGCATGAAGCTCTTCTCCTGCGACTCAAACACAGGAGGTTCTGCTCGCTCAACTGGAATACAGAAGACTCTGCTCTCCGCTCCCTGATTCAAATACAGGAAACTCTGTTCCCTCAATTCACCTCTGCTCCTGCTTCCGCGACTCAAATACAGGAAGCTCTGTTCCTGCCCCACTATTTTTTAAATATAGGAAGTTCTGTTCCTGCTCCCGCCTTCAAATACAGGAAGAACTGCTCCTGCCCCCGCCATTCAAATACAAAAAATCTCCACTCCTGCTTCCACAATTCAGCTACAGGAAGCTCCGCTCCTGCTGCCACAATTCAAATACAAGAAGCTATGCTCCTGCTGCCACAATTCAAATACAGAAAGCTCTGCTCTGCTCTGCTCAGCTCCCTCGATTCTGAATACAGGAAGCTCTGCTCTGCTCTGCTCCTGGAACTGAAACAGTCAGGAAGCTCTGCCCTGCTCCCCTGCATCGAACACAGAAGGAAGCTATGCTTCCTCGATTTGAATACAGTCAGGAAGCCCTGCTCCCACTGTTCGAATACAGGCAGGAAGCTCTGCTCTCTCGATTCGAATACAGGCAGGGAGATGTGCTCCCTGGATTCGAATACAGCTCCGCAAAAAAGAAAAAGAAAGAGTGGACCCTGCCCAAACTGCCTCCTCAGCGCAATATGACAAAGCTACAGCGGACCAATTAAAAAACGAAGGGCCCAGCTACACGCGGACAAAAAAGGAAAACGAATTGTCTTCTATGGGCCCACCCTGGGCCCAAAGGATCTCCTAGTGTCTAGCAGGACACCGTCACCCAAGACCCGCCTTTCGTTCTAAGAAGGTTATATAGATAGACGACAACTCCTTAAATTTTCGAGGGACAGCACTTGTAGTGGACAACACCCTTGTTAACTTCTCATGCGGACAAAGAAAGAAAACGAAGTGTCTTCTTTGGTCCCGCCCTGGGCCCGAAGTGTCTCCTAGTGTCGTGCGGGACACGCGCTGTTGCTCTTAAGAAGGCTATAATAAAAATAGGTAGAAAAAAACAAACTCCTTGAATTTGTTGGGACAGCACTTCGTCGTGGACAACACCCTTGTGTTTACTTCTTCCTCGTTCCAGGTACAGATTCTCATCATTTGCAGGTGTCACTGCCATCATCAGAGGGAAATGCCTGCTGTTGGCAGTGTCCTACGTGAAACCCCTACACCCACAAAGCTTTGCATACAGACCTGGCATAGGATTACTGTGTGCCTGTTGACCTGGTCTGGTCTGGCCTGGCCTGGCCTGGGAAGCACGACACAGCCAACCTCGTCTGGCCTGGCCTGGCCTGGGCAGCAAGAATTACTGTGTGCCTGCATGACAAGACACAGCTTCCCAAAAGCATAGGCACCACACATAATGCGATCTGGGCAAACAGAGCTGGCCTGGTCTGGCCTGGCCTGGGAAGGAAAAGATCAAGCCACCGAGCAGGACAGTTCTCCACAGAGGTGTTCTCCAAATAGCTACACAGCCAACCTCGTCTGACCTGGTCTGGCCTGGTCTGGGCTGGCTTGGCCTGGGCAGCAAAAATTACTGTGTGCCTGCATGACAAGACACAGCTTCCCAAAAGCATAGGCACCACACATAATGCGATATGGGCAAACAGAGCTGGCCTGGTCTGGCCTGGCCTGGGCAGGAAAAGATCAAGCCACCGAGCAGGACAGTTCTCCACAGAGGTGTTCTCCAAATAGCTTACTACACTCGTTGGTTCTCACAATGCTGTGCTCTAGGCCTCTCAGTTGTGGATTTTCTGAGGTGGCGGCAGAAACCCAGGTCAGACACTGAAATGCCTACCACCATAATATCCGCCCACAGACCGGAAATGATGCACATGATTGCCTAGAATGGGGGTCTGCTCAGCAGAGCATGCATACCAGGAGTGACAGTGATTGATGTACCTCAGGATGGCTGACCAGCTGAGTGGCCAGCTGGATTGCCAGATAAAAATTAGAGGAGACTAATTGCCAAACGGACTGCCAGCTGCATTGTCGGATAAAAATAGAATGCCTGATTGCCAGATGGATGGCCGGCTGGATTGCCAGATGGATGGCCGGCTGGATTGCCAGATAAAAATAAAAAAAGATTGATTGCCAGAGAGAATGCCAGCTGGGTTGCCAGATAAAAATAGAATGCCTGATTGACAGCTGGATTGCCAGATAAAAATAGAATGCCTGATTGCCAGATGGATTGCCAGATAAAAATAGAAAGATTGATTGCCAGACAGAATGCCAGCTGGATTCCCAGATAAAAATAGAATGCCTGATTGCCACAAGGATTGCCAGATCAAAATAGAATGCCTGATTGCCAGATGGATTGCCAGATAAAAATAGAATGCCTGATTGTCAAATGGATGGCCAGATAAATTGCCTGCCAGCTAAGAATAGAATGGCTGATTGCCAGATGGATTACCAGATAAAAATAGGATGACTGATTGCCTGATGGATTGCCAGATGGATTGCCAGATGGGAATATATAATGATGAATATCACGAAGTAGCACAATGACTGTGGTTCGTCGTTGGTCCAATCATATGACGCACCCACCAATTCTGGGACGACCACCTACAATCACCACCACAAGTGCCAGTCTCTCTGTAATTCCTGATTCCTTCATCTGTCACATCTCCTAGAGACGTTGCACCACCCTTTTCGCCTTGTTTCCGGGGCATCGCCTTTTCAAAACACCCGCAGGAACAGATACAGAACAGGTGGGTTTTCAGTCGTCTAGACCGTGACTGTGGTTCGTTCTGGCCCCAATGATGAGTGAGCACCCATCAATCCCGGGACCACCACCACCTACCACGACAAGTGCCAGTCTCCTTGTAATCCTGATTCCTCCTCTGCCATCTCGTTAGAAAGGTTGCACCACCGTTTTGGCCTTGGTTTCCCGGGCGTTGCTTTTCGAGAGTCCCGCAGGGACTGCTCCTACAGAAGAGGAGGAGGTTTTCAGTCGTCTCTTGCTGCTAGCAGCATCTTTCCGGTCCGGTGGCGGCGGCTTTGTTGATGCAGACAATGCTGGCGAGCTCAGCCGTCGATACCCCTCCACCTCTTGTTCCTCGTCTTTCTTCTCCATAGCTCTTTTTGCCAGCTCGTATCCCGCAAAGTTCATTGCCCCCAGCGGGGCAATCCAGAAAAACCTTGGTAGACAACCCTTGAACAGTGTCAGCGCTCCTTCGTTTCGGATGATCGACCAGGCAATGCCTGACATTGTGACAGTCGTGCCAGGGCTGGAAGTCATCATTCTAGTCTTCATGACATCGAACGGAGTTGTCATGATGGCCGCAAGGCCTCCAGACAAACCACCTACAGCGATCGTCTCCCACGGCTTCAGCTGACGTTTCAACAAGCTGTTGGCGACCTTCTTCATCTCCTCATAGATGACCATTCCTGCGACGTAGAAGGGGACTTCTCTGCAAAGAGTAACCCCTGTGCCCCTAAAGAACCCTTTGATGCCGTCCATCTTCATCGTCCCGGCAATTGCCTCTCCGAGATTCTTGTACAGCCCTGCTTGCAGCCTCTGCTTCATTACCTCACAGGGTATCCTGAACGCAGTCCCGATGATCGTGCTGGATAACGACGCAAGGGACTGGACTTGCATGGCGGGCAAATCCGGGGCAACGTTCTTCAGGAGCAGCTTGGTCACTTCCATGACCCCAGTTCTTAAGCCATGGCTGGAAAACTGGCCAACGATAGCGGGAACTGCTCCCCTGTACAGCCCCCTCACTCCTGCTTCGGGAACCCGAGCAAGAACCTCACTCAATGACAGAGTCGAGGCTTGAACTCTCGTCTTCAACGTGTCCAGGGGGTACATCATCGACGTAGATAAGCCTGATACTAGCCCACCCGCAAGCGCCGACTTCAGCACACTCCCCACAGGGGCAGACGGGGGCACCATCGGCACGACGGTTGCCGCTTCAAACCACACCATACTAGGGTCATCTCCCAATCGTTCCCGGGGGAGGAGGATGAGGAAATTGCGGAAATGCCCATAGGCAATGCGGCCATCGAGATCAGCATTCAGGAAGCGGATCATAGCATCGGCATTGTCATCTGTGGCTGGCAGTCCTGCACGCTTTAGAGAGGCAAGTACCTGCCCTTTCTGGAGGGTCCCTGATGCCGTCAGGTTCAGGGAATTGAATGCACGGAGCATAGACGGCTCCTTCTCATCCATCAACGATCGAAAGTCCTCCCAACCGAACGACTTGGCAAGAAAGTGCTTCCTCGTTCGTCGCAAGAAACACTTCGCGTAGTCTTGAGGGAGCCTTCGCTTCTTCATTGCCACTTCAAGATCCTCCAGCGTCACTTGACCATCTCCGTCTCTGTCCAGCTCGTCGAACAGCCGCCTCCCTTCTGCTTCCGTGTACCTGTAGAAGTCTTGAACCGATACCAACCGCTTTCTGTCCGGGTAATTGCCCTTCCTCATCACGGGCACCATATCCGCAATGTCGGACAACGAGGCCGCGACGAGAGACGAAGAGATCGGGATCGGGATCGCGTGCAGGTCCGGCAAACGGGGCATCTTGATCGACGCCAGAAGTTTTAAGAAAGATGATCGCGGGGCCGTGCGATTCGCCGCAGAATCCTCCTCCGCCTTGTCCAATCCCCCCCCCCCCACCGGAGGGCCATCATAATGCTCGCTCCCCGCGGCGGCGGCGGCGGCGGCGGCCGGGGGCAGCGGCGAGCGGCGGGGGACGGCGGGGGGGGCGGCGCTAGTGGTCTCAATCGTCGCCGCCGCCGACCCCCCGTTGCTGCTCCTTGCAACGCCGTCGTCTTCTTGCTGTGCCTGCCCCCCCTCCTCTGATTCCGACCTAGGGTCGCTTTGAAGCCTAGCGAAGGTGGCGAATTTCAGTCTAGTCCCTGAGCGTGCCTCTCCCGCTCTTTTTCCTCCTCCTGCCAGCAGATGCTGCCGCAAGCCAGCCCTTTTCCTCCTCCTCCCGCCGACCACATTGATCCCGCCAACCTGTTCATCTCTTGCCACCGCCGCATCCTCTAGATTCGACTTCCCTTCGACCTCAGCAGCTACCTCCACCCCCCCCACCTCTCCCAACTCCAGACGCACCAAACCCTGTTCTTTCAAGTGGTCCGCGTTGCCGCCAGCCTCCCAGTGCAGTGTCTTTTCCAGGGCACGAGTGAGCTGTCCCAACGTGACCCGGCGCAGGTCCGCAAACGGCACCCCGAGCGATCCCGATGCAGTGCGCGCTGGAGGAGGAGGGGGCTGCTCGGAGTGATAGTGAGTGGCAAGGCTGGAATCGAGTGCGCAACGACTTGACACCCCCGGCGGTAGGGACTCATCCCTCTCCCCCTTCACAGCCTCCTCGTCGGCGGCGGCGGGGTCAGTAGCTTGCCGCCCTCTTTCTGCTCCTCCTTCTGCTTGCCCTCCCGTCCGGAGAGCTGCTGCGGGAGCGGCCTGATGAAAGGGCATAATTATGGAGATCTTTGCAAGCCGGGCAGGCAACCCGCCCATGATCGGGATCGCTGTGACCGTTCCCTCCGCCGACATCTCCTTCGTCTTCATTTTCTTCCCTATCCCGCCGCCATCGCTGGAACTCTCCCTGACCTTCGTCGCCGTCACAACGTTGTCAACTACGACACTGCAACAGGAGGGACTGGAGGAGGAGGAGGAGCATGAGAAGGACGCAGCAGAGGGCGAGACGGAAGAATCGCAATGCCTTGTGGTGTCCTCTCCTTTCCGCCGCCTTGACGATGGAGGCCATGGGCTGGAGGAGGACGACGATGATGCAGGAGGAGGGGGGGAGAGGGCAGGACCACAATGCGTTCCGAAGTCCTCTGCTTTCCGCCGCCTTGGCGATGGCGGCCACGAGCCGACGACTAGCACAGCGCCCAGAATCGTTTGCAACAACTGCTCTCCCAAGCCCCCGACCCCACATCCTCCGGGGGCTGAGCACCCTAGATTCTGACCAGATGCAGAGAACCCATTGCGACCTAAAGACGTGCCACCTCGGACACCGGAGGGCGACACACCGCTCAGCCAGCACTTCCCGCCATTGCACCCTCCTCTACGTTTCCCGCCACTACTCTTACAATTGACGGAGGTCACAACAGCGGAGGGGAAGGAAGTGGTCGTTAATGTGGCAGAGGCGGGAGAGGGGCGGGGAGAAGACGAGGCGGCAGCGGAGGGACAAGAGGGAGAAGACGAGGTAGCAGAGGAGGGGCAAGCGTGCGAAGACAAGGCGGCGATGGAGGAAAGAACATGGAGAGGAGGAGGAGGAGGAGGAGGAGGAGGAGCATCCGAGAGTAAGTTCCAGGAATCTCTGCCACGTGTCCGTTTCTCATTCGTTCCAAGATTGTTGGGTAATGCGACTGCCGGGCTAGATGTGACGTGCGCCTCCCCATGGCAGTATTGCAAGTGGCATTGCCCTTGCTGTTGCTGTTGCTGTTGCGGCTGCTGCTGCTGCTTCTGTGGCGCCCAGATGGTGAGAGCGGGAGCGGAGGCGGGGGCGGCGATTGGCGCGGAAGATGCTGCCTTGCCCACCCCCACCCCCGCCGCCTTGCTCTTTTTATCAATCGTGTACCTGTTGTGCTGTTGTTGATGACGGCACAGGCAGCTTCTCAAACGCGCGGCTTGCGCCTCTAGCGCCTGGAATGCCCCAGTAGGCCAATCAAAGCCCCCGCCGCCGCGGACAAGCGCTTCCCTCACGGGCAACGTCGAATCCATGTCCAATGTCATCCCGCCTCCCTCTCCCTCCCACACTCCTGCGCTCCTCTCTACCCCGACCTCACACCTCCGACCGCTCGCAATGGGCCACTACCTTCTCTCCCTCATTACTTTCACGATGCATTCCCTTCCATATCGCCGCACCCTTCCCTCCCCCACCTTCTCTACTCTCAGTTATAAAACCTATCTCCTCCGTTATCTCCTCCGTTATCTCCTCCGTTATCTCCTCCGTTATCTGCTCCGTTACCAACCGTCCACTTGACCAGAGGGACTTTCCCCTTCATCGCCGCATCCTTGCCCCCGCTTCCTTTTCTTCTCTCGTTACCAGCCCAATCTCCTCCGTTATCTGCTCCGCTATCTGCTCCGTTATCTGCTCCGTTATCTGCTCCCTTGTCTGCTCCGTTACCGCACGTCCACTTAATGAGAGGAGCTTAACCCGTCATTGCCGCATCCGTGTCCCCGCTTCCTTCACTGCTTTCCGYTMCAACACAATCTGCTCCGTTATCTGCTCCGTTATCTGCTCCGTTATCTGCTCCCTTGTCTGCTCCGTTATCTGCTCCCTTGTCTGCTCCGTTATCTGCTCCCTTGTCTGCTCCGTTACCGCACGTCCCCACTTAATCAGAGGAGCTCCGCATCCTTGTCCCCGCTTCCTTCACTGCTATCCGTTACAACACAATCTGCTCCGTTACCTGCTCCGTTACGAGGCCTTTGGCCCGCCACTCACTCCGCGCCAATTTCTGTTGTTCCGCCCACCCGCGGCGGCTGATTCTTCTTGCACATTCCTTGCTCCTTCCTCCTCCTCCCCTTCTCCTGCTGCTCTTCAGCACGACGATCAGTTCGCCCTCCACCGTCGGGCGGGCATTAATCCGACGGCTCCAGTTCCATTGCGCTGCATTACTGGCACAACACTCGCTGCATCCCTGCTTCGCAAAACGGCAGGGTCCACAGCGTGGTATGCTGTGGACAGCCCCCCCCATCCCTCGTTTTAACCCCTATAAACTGCCTGTCATATGCCGTGACCGAAACCGAAGCATGCCATCAAAGCTTGGTACCTGCCATCCTAAATTGCTGCCGCAATCACGAACCGCCATAGCCACGTGGTTCCCACATCCCTACCACGCACGTGACACCGGACGTGCTCTTTCCAAAATTTACCGTAGTGAAGAACCAAGGCCAGCCCCCCAAATTTCTCAACTCATCTAGAGAACAAGGTCACCCCTCAAATTAAAAAAAAAAAAAAAAAAAAAAAGGTCACCCCTCAAATTTCTGATCTCATCTATAGGGAATGCATGTGCATGAAACACTCCATAGATCTCGCCGCATTACTCCGTCGTCTTGCCTGACACTATCGACGGCAAGCTCTCACACGATGTGCCACGCCATCATCTCAGAAAACGGTTTCGTCTCTCCCAACGCCCGCCACGTCAGCTACCGTCTTCCCCCGAATAGAACGCACGGTCACGGTGGCGGTATTTCGGGCGCGCTCTTTTCGGGGGAAGACGGCACCGCAGGACACCGGCGATCGCGCCCGTTTCGCATACGATTGATTTCTGCTTTCCCCATTCGGACAGCACAGGAAGTTGTGCTTTCCCCATTCGGACAACACAGGAAGTGCACGCGCATCAGCATTCCTGACGCGCCTTCACATTATTTTATCCATCTGACTCAGAAGCAGATTTTCGACTGGAACACACTTATAACTGTTGGAAAACAGATCCGGTGTTCGAAACCCCAAGGAAACCCAAACATATATCAAGATTAATGGCTCTCCCCTTTCAAAAGGCCATGGCTAGAAACTCGTGCCCTATTCTTCAGTAGTCATTCCTGTGGACCATTCAGCCACATTGGCTGGACTATATGGATGTAATATCATAAAAGGATAAATTTATGTTTTGCCCCTATCATAAAAGGAGAAATTTATGTTTTGCCCCTAAGATACAACTGAGGAAACCCAAACATATATCAAGATTAATGGCTCTCCCCTTTCAAAAGGCCATGGCTAGAAACTCATGCCCTATTCTTCAATAGTCATTCCTGTGGACCATTCAGCCACATTGGCTGGACTATATGGATGTAATATCATAAAAGGATAAATTTATGTTTTGCCCCTATCATAAAAGGAGAAATTTATGTTTTGCCCCTAAGATACAACTGAGGAAACCCAAACATATATCAAGATTAATGGCTCTCCCCTTTCAAAAGGCCATGGCTAGAAACTCATGCCCTATTCTTCAATAGTCATTCCTGTGGACCATTCAGCCACATTGGCTGGACTATATGGATGTAATATCATAAAAGGATAAATTTATGTTTTGCCCCTATCATAAAAGGAGAAATTTATGTTTTGCCCCTAAGATACAACTGAGGGCCGTCGCACGGGACGCAGATTTGGCACGCTTGGCAAGCAGACCAGGCAGATTGGGCAGGTTTGGCAAGCAGGCCAGGTTTGCAGTGCGTATTCACCAAAAATAACTGAGACAAAAAGAAAAGGAAAATCCTCACCGCAGTCGGCCCAACAACACCGTAAGAAACAAATACAAGCACGTGGCCACTGTCCCTTACGCCCCATGTCTACCACCAGATACATCAAGGAAGATGTGCCACCCCTGCGGGCATACTTGCGTTATCAAGTGCATCGGGCCCCGCTTTTTTCGTAAAAGGCGACAGCCCTCCCGGCCAAGTCACGCAGGAGTTATAAAAATAAAAAAAATCAAGAGAATTTGGGTATAATGCATAAATAATCCCACAATCGCCGAGACGGACGCGGTCACATTGCCACCTCGTCGCTCTAGCCGGGTGCACCAGCCGTACCTTCCGCGGTCCCCTACGACAGGATAGGTTTTTGCGGGGCGCAACTGACTAATTTCCCTTCCCTAAGAGGTTGTAACCATCCTTAAGGGTGTATCCCTACCGAGCTGCTGACTCACATGCGAAAGCTTTTACATGCAGTCACAAAGGTAGGTCAGTCGACGGCGTTTGCTCATCTCGCTGCAGTATAGGAAACATTTGGTTAAAAGCCAAGTGAACCCAAACGTTGTTCGTTCCCTAAGGTGCCGATCTCCTAGGCACGAAACAAATGTCGGTCAATTAGATCGGTCTGAACCAAGTGTGGAACCCAAACTTAATCATAGTTCCTAGGCGCATAACTCAAGAAACAAAAATACTATGATCAAATATATTTATACTGAAATTAATCGGTCATTAGTCGATAGGAAAAAACATTTAAATCCAACATGAGTTCAAACAATACTTGGATACACGAACATCAGATGATAGAGTCAATAACACAAAATCAAAACCAACCTCCTTGGTTTGAACTCAATAAATTAAATACTTTATTGAACCGCTGACGGGGAGTTGGTTCCGACAATAACCTCGATGTAGCCGACAAAGTAGTCAGACTACCTCCGTTTTAACTTAAACCACCACTCCCCCTCATTGCCTAAAGTCGACGTCCCGGTGAGTTCGGGTCGGAAATGGAGGGGGGTCGCCGACCAATTTCACAAGGGCAAAAAACAAAACAAAAAAAGAGCAAAAAAAGTTCACGATTTCATTTTCAACTCGGCCTACCTGGGTGACTGCAGGACTGACGGGGTACCACCATGAAACGGTGCGGGTTTTGCTCCACGAATCCCCCCAGTCCAAAACAAGAGAGAGGGCCTCAACATGCACAACCGACAAAACTCATGGCGGTGTATCTTTCCATATTCTAGCGAAAGATTCACTCTCGTTTTGCGAATTTCGAGAGTACTCCCGACATGCACAACAAACAAAACTCATGGCGGTGTATCTTTCCATATTCTAGCGGAAGATTCACTCTCGTTTTGCGAATTTCGAAAGTAGTGCAGCTATGCCCCGAATCATCCCGTCGGCATGGGCAAAACGTACGTTGCTGAACCAGCGGGCATCCACTTCGAAATGCTTCTTTTTTTTATAAACATTTCTTTTTTTTTTTTTAGTATTATTATTATTATTTTTTTAAATGCTTCTCAAAAAAAAAAAAAAAAAAAAACCTTCCTTTTTCTACGGCCGCTGTACATACTGGCACGTTTCAGACCCATCCACAGGTCGTGGCAGTCCCTGCTACCGGTAGGTCAGCCGCCTATTCCAAAAATCGCCCTATCGGTCCCCCTTACTTTAGGTTGCGGGGGGGAGCGGTGGTTTAATGCGATATGGTGTCAAAGTCAATCATTCCACCTCACCATCAATGCCTTAGCATAAATGTATCATCATCGGGGCAACCTGGATACTTTTTATCTTAGTGGTCTTATCTAAAATGATTTATTATTATTATTATTATTTTAGATTATCTTGTCAAGCCTAGTAAAATAACAATGGCTCGAACATAGGAACAATCCGACGTGGTCCCCAAGATAGCCTTATTGGGGAACAAAGTTCACAAAAATATGTTTCGCCATGATACAGTTGTCGTCTCTCTTGGGCATCAGCTTCTATGTCGTCAAGTCGTACAAGCTCCTCGTCATTAAAATTCAAAGTGGTGGCGCAAATCTCTCGCATAACTCGAACTGTTTGTGAAGTCAGCCTCCATACTATGAAACGATAAGGTTGACACATCCGAAAGAGGTGCTTGTCGTAATGATTATCGGATATGGTAATCTTAACGCTCATAATGACTTGAGAAAGATATTGGAGGCTGCTCGCGCAATGAAAAAATATAGTATACCTATAAAATTTATCTAGAAGTCGCGCCACATTTACAAAAACGTCCGCGTGCGAGTTAAAAAAAATATTCTTGTTCATTTATGAGGAAGCCAATAAATTCAGTCCAGCGAGTCGACGCATCGTCACGAACCAATAAAAGTCACTTCGCTCGTAGAATCAACTCCCCATCCATAGTGACACCAACAAATATTTTGCATATGTAACATCTCGTCGACCGTCGGTCATCTGTCCATTGAAAAACGAATCACATTAAGAATCAATAACTCATCGAAGGTTCCAAGTTTTATTGTGGTATACTGCTCTCGCACAACTGACTATCCACCTGCTCGAAACGATTAACACGGATCCGTTTGAAAAACTCAACGTTTTCAAACAACCCCATGTGAGCGTCGTAGTGTAGGACAAGCCTAAGGTAATTCAATCAGATTTAAAGGTCAAAGCGCGACCATACCTCGTCGTCCTCGAATCCATACCCGACATGGAGATCATACCACCCGAGTCGAGCTCATCACCGAGGTTAATAAGAGATAGGTCCGCAACAAATTTTTTGTCGAGTCGCGATCCACTTTTAACTTTCTCCATTGCGGGAATACTTCAATCGAATATAAAATTATTCGCCCGACTTGGTTCAACCTTATTCTGTGTCTCTCGGTTTCTGCTACGTGGCTCGTTGTGGTCTCCTTACTTGGAAAAAAAAAACAATAATTGTTAGTGTCGTAGACATCTGAAAACAATCCAAGTCTAAAATGACCCTCTGTTAAGTCTTAGACTCAACATACAGCTAATCATATGGGTCAACGACCATCCTGGCTAATTGTCATTGACCTTTATTCAAGTTAGCATATTCATGAGTTATGTTGTCAAGTCCCACTAATTTCTTTTTTTCCCAGGCTCATGCTTCTTACGACACGGCTTCTCAATGAAGGTAGTGCTTACTTGCATTTCATCTGAAACTAGTAAGTACACGAACTGAACTTCTTTTGGTGCCAATTCAAGTTCCTCATATGTTGGTGGCTCCTAAGACAAAAAAAAAAAAAAAAAAAAGCTCAGCCTCTTTTTTGTCCGTGAGTATGAGAAAACAATGTTCGCCCCTAGCCGTGAAAACATGCTACCCTCTAAGAAATGGTATGAGATATTTCTCCTCCTTGCCCAAACATATAGCTCGGATCTCATAAGTCGGGTTGGCTCCACTGCGAATTCAGCACTGCCAAGATATCCCCCGTAATACTATCCACTCTAGGTCAATAACAGAGTCGCCCCCCAAGGCAACGAACAGAGGAGTCCCCAAAACCTTAAGTGA